GTGTATAATGTGCTCCCATGTATAATGGGGGATGTTATATCCCCAAACTTTCAGGAAAAAAATCATTTTAATTTTTTAACTAAAATTTTTATTTGTTTACATTTAGGTACTTGTTTCTTATATTATAAAGGAATTTTAGCATTTTAAAAACATTATGGTACAGAAATTTTATGTAACAAATAATTACAAAACACAAGAACAGATAGATAGATACAAGGTACAAGAAATTTTATGTACTGGTAAAAAATTTACAATATTTATACATCATAGAAGGCCAAGAACTCTTTGTCATCGCAAGTTCATTGTAAGTTCAACAAAACCAATTATCGTATTCCAGGGTATTATTTTGCATATGGATATTGTTATTGATTTCTAGAGTTACACTTTTAACTCATAAGCATAAATAAAATAATTTTTAAAATTTGTATAGATACAGAATTAGTGCTACCCATGTATGATGTGCATCCTTATTTTTCCCTCACAAATTTGGGCAAAATGTGCGCATTATACATGGCAAAATACGATACTCTTAGCCCTTCTTAACTCTGCACCATTCTTTGTTATTCCATGGAGTACAGGTGACAAACATAAGTGACCACAAGAGCCATGTTCAGAATTTCAATGAATGACTCTTGCTGCTGTATGAAATTCTATTTCCTTGTAAGTACAGAAAAAGAAGCATGACCATATGCTCAATGGTGGTCAACAGCAGCTGCCATTAAATTTCAGGCTCCTGGAGACGACAGGACATGGTGGGGACGGCAGCACACTACATGCAGTGTCTGCTAAGCGGCTGCTTCTCACCGCTGGCCAGGTCCTGCCGTGATGGCACACAGGAAAGGCTCTGCCAGAGGTTTTTATTTGTCACTCAGGAGATAGGACTTTTTCTATGAATATTTCCACTATTTTTAAAAGTTGACAACAAACTTATATTAAATGCATAATTAAAACACTTTGAAGGTTAAGGCTCTGCTGGCCTAATAAATACACCAATGAGCTGATTCAATTGATAGGTAGCAGCACAATCTCAGGTTTGGTCTTCCTATGTTTTACTTTGCTTTCAGCCTGCACAAATGCTTCCTCTGAGAAGACTATCCTCTCTTAATTTCCGAAAGCCTTCATTTTCAGGTGGACACTTCTTTACTTCTTTTGCCATCCCTTTAGATCTGCACTGTCCATTAGAAATAGAATGCAAATCACCACAGGTGCAATTTAAAATTTTCTAAAAGTTACATTTTAAAAAATTAAAAGGGAAAGTGAAATTAACTTTAATACTATATTTTAAAACACAGTCCAAAATATGATCATGGTAACATGTAATCAATATGAAAATTAGTAATGAGATATTTTATTTTCTTATTGGGGAACAGCCGTGGTCATTTGCTACACATTGCTTTCATGCTACAACGGCATAGTTGGCTCTTTAAAGGAGGGCGCAGGTCACAGTGGCCTATGCAGGGATCAAACCGGCAACCTTGGTGTTATCAGCACCATGCTCTAACCAACTGAGCTAACCAGGCATTCCTAGTAATGAGATATTTTAAAAATAGTTTCATACCAAGTCTTTAGCACCTGGTATTATTTTTTATGCTAAGAGCACATTTTAATTTGGGGAGATCACATGTCAGGTGCTCAGTAGCTTACCCATGGCCTATGGCCAGCTGTTGTGGAAAGCACAATCTTAGCCTCTCACAGAGATCTTCACATCAACTACTCATCTCTTTTAAAACTGTATTTTTGTTTGATATTGGTAACGTCCTCCATTTCTTTCCCTAGATTTTGCTCCCTCTTTATTTCCATCATGTTTTTTGATACATGCTCTGTATCCCTTATTCNCTTAGCCCCTCATCACACTTTCTGTGTTTATTACCATTTAAGATTTACAGAGCATTTCCACATGTTATCACACTACGGACTAATAATGCTGACTAATAATATTAGCCATCATTTGTTGAGCCAGGCACTGTATTGAGTACCAACAGAGAGGGACATGGGGAGTTAGGAGATGAGGAAGAGGAGGAAAACCAAAGCTTTAGCAAAGAAAACGAAGCGTACAGAAAATTCATTCATTGGGCCATCCTGTCTATCTGTCTCTCTCTTTCAGGAATACCAAATTGATATATTTTTTGCTCAGACCTGGACCGACAGTCGCCTTCGATTCAACAGCACAATGAAAATACTCACTCTGAACAGCAACATGGTGGGGCTGATATGGGTCCCAGACACCATCTTCCGCAATTCTAAGACCGCAGAGGCTCACTGGGTCACCACCCCCAACCAGCTTCTCAGAATCTGGAATGATGGGAAGATCCTTTACACTCTAAGGTAAGATGCTGGTGGAGCGAATGCCTGATGGTCGGATATGAGTCCTTAATCGGGGGGATGGGGGGCCCTATTTTCATCGCCAGGCTCTACGCTTCTCATGTTCTGCCTGCTATGGCATGGTTTCTGGAAGGTCCGTCCTGAAGCCATGTGTATAAAACGGAGGCACACACCTGGTCTGCAATGAACATAAACTCATTCCAGCATCAGATCCATGTCTGCTGAAATTGGACTGCGGAAATTGTCTTTAATCTACTTAACCCATGGGTCCACTCAGCTAGGAAAATAAAGATGTCTTGGTGTGCTCATT